TGTGGTGATGAAAGGCAGTGAAGCGGAAGGGCTTGGATTAACACTGGGTGCAACAAAAGCGATGAAATCTGCGTTGACACAGCACATTGCCCGCTTTGCAGACAGCAGATGGATGTTGGAAATCAAAAGTGGCTGCACTTCCAGATGTCGCACTTTGTGTACTGACTGTTGGTTTGTTTAATGGCTTACGCCTCTTCAGAAAAAAAAGGACGGGCTGAATCGCACCAGGCTTGCCATCACGACCATGCATTTTTACACTAAACTTGAAGCAGTCAGATTGTTAACTATATGAATGGTTGTTTCTTTACATTTAGCTTATGTACACAGTGTAATCGTCATAAATTTTGCATGATGGGGCGAAAAATTTCCGTTGAACGGTCGTTCACTGAAAATGATCTACGTGTCCAGTGAGCTATTTCCCCGCCAAAACCTTTACATGTCCGTACGTGGGGACCGCGTATACCTGGGAGCTAAGTTTGAAATCTTTCAGTTGTACGCGGAGGGGGAATACCCCTCAAAATTTTCGGTTTTCCAGCTTTTCTGGTTCTCTAGTTAGCGGTTTTCCTACCAAAATCTCCACGTACTCAGACGTGCATGATAGTTGGTACCGCAGCCCTAGAGTGGCTCTTTGCCAGGGAACTTCTTGGCAATATTTTAGCGTCGGAACGTGCTTGGTCGTCGAATTGAAATACCCGATACGAAGCGCGCGCGCACACACGCACACACACACGCACACACACGCACATACACACACACACACACACGATAGGTCGTCACAGTGTGCGTTTTTTGTGTAGATGCAGTGTAAAAACGCATATTGTTGAGGGGTTGTCTATCTGTGTGTGTGTCTGCGCCTGCACCGAGTTTTCATCTTGAGGCCTACAAGAGCTACAAAGCTAAATCTACACATACGTTAGGGCCCTTATCTTTGAAATATTCGCTCACGTCCACGTGGTTTTCACGTCCCGGTGCGTGAAAGTTTTTTTGGCTGGAAAGCGATTTCGGGAACGGCGCAAACTAGAAAGCTGAAACTCCACGAAGATGTTCCATGGCCAAGTCCAACCCAAAGGTTTTAAATTCAGCTTTCACGCATTCTTAAATCTCGCATGCGTACACGTCCAACTGGCGTCGTACCAATTGCGGATTTAAGCTGACCGGGAATTTGCAGAGAGCTGTAATTCTGCATCCTTGTTTGTCTCCCACTGATGTGCCCGCGAAAGTAGAGTTTTTCAGCCCCTCTGCGTCTCACGTACGGACACGTGGAAGTTTCAGTCGTCTTGTAACTTTGGAAATGAAGCAGCTGGTGGGCTGAAACTTCCCAAAAGTGGCCGTCAGCGGCGTTTGATCAGGTGAACGTCAACACGTTCCTTTCATGTTTCATATAAGTCTCAATTATGAATACATGAAATTTGACGTAGCTTCGCAACCAGAGCAGCTGGAGTGCTGGAATTTCCTGAGCATGGTCCGGGGACGTGTTTGGGAAGCGCACGTTGAAGCAGTGTCACCTCGCTTACGAACACGTGGAATTTGATGTGGCTCCGTAATCGGGGCGCCTAGAGTGTTGTATTTTTTGAGCGTGGATTGAGAGTCACTGTAATAATTTCTGATATTCATGGTGAGCAGTCACAGTTTTTCTAGTCAGAAGCATCTGCCGGAAAAACAGT